GAGGACGAGTCCTAGGTACTTCATCGTCGTCTCGACGCCGATGGTAACTCCTCCCGCCGTTATTTGGGACCCACCCGGAGGTGGCGCGTTCCCGCGGCCATGAAAACACATGGCCTCGGACTTGTGGAGCGCCACCTCGAGTCCCAACTGCCGGATTCTCTCAACGACTGTCGCAACCGCTGTCGCCATTAAGTCGGCCGCCGCCTGGTGTGACCTCCCGTGCGCTAGCACCAGCGTATCGTCGGCGTAGCATATTGTGCTAACGCCGTTCGGGAGGTCGGTGCGCAGCACCCAGTCATAACCGATGTTCCACAGGAGCGGCCCCAGAACCGAACCCTGTGGAACACCGCGTGACATCTCTCGCCGGTTCCACTCGCCCCGGTGACCGGGGTAAATGACGGACCTGTCCGTCAGGTATGCCTCGATTACACGACGGAGGTAGGTAGGCACCCGATGATATCGGAGTGCCTCCAAGATGCAGCTCCAGGGCAGGGAGTTGAAGGCGTTGGCGATGTCCAAAGACACCGCCACTACGACCTTACCCCTGGACACTGCAGTCCCCGTCGTCTGGTCCCTAACGCGCATGATGGCGTCCACCGTGGAGCGCCCTCTGCGGAAGCCGAACTGGCCGTCCGATAGGTCCGGCCCAATGTCCGTCAGGTGCGCAAAATGATTCTTTCGAAGACTTTCCCCACCTCGTCGAGCAGCACTATGGGCCGGTATGCGGACGGAGAGTCCGCAGGGCGCCCCGTCTTCCGCACGAGGACCAGTTTGCCCGCTTTCCAGAGAAGCGGGAACTAGCCTCTCTCCAAGCATGCGCTGTAGAGACCGAAAATCGTTTCACAATAGGTAAATCTTAATTGGGCACTGAATTGATTCTGATGAATTCTGTCAGAAGTCATTAATCTACGCGGACGAAGTCGCGGGCAACAGCTAGTAAAACATATATTCGACGTTACATAGGTAAATCACTATTTTTTGACGAAGTAAAGTCGAAAAATCTTTTAGTACCCTACATTTTTGTGAAGCTGATATTGTTAAGTTTTTGTTGTGGCAAAAAAAAAATGTGTTTTCGTGGTCCATAATGGGATGTAGCGATCAGATAGATGCCTGACTTAATCTAATTACATGGATGTAACGAGTCAAAAAATAAATGGTCACATTGTTCATCAGCAGCAGTTCTAAACTTTATATTGACTGTTTGCACTGCAAACACAAACAACTTATAACAACATTAAACTGTCAAACACCAAGCGGTCACCGGTGACCGTAACCTATTGTTCTATAATTGTGTCTACAAAACCGGTACTCGACGAGTTAAAATTTGAGACAAAGTTAATTTACCATTTACCAACAATTTTAATTAAAATCTTACAAAAATGTACATAATTATACAACAAACTAAACGTTACGTGAACTTTAAAAAAACTAGTCATCTCACAACCAAACTACCAGGGCTTCATAAATAGCTAGGAGTTATATGCGTCACACTCACACACTACACGTTTACTTCGTTCCGAGCTCTGCACATGTCCTGAATAGTTTATGTCCGACTAATGTTCTGCTGCCCTGGTACACTCGTTTCTTTATAGCAGTCCATTACGTATGCGGGACTTAATGGGAGGATATTAAGTAATACCACCGAGCTATGTAATACGATAAACGTTTATGTGTTTTTTTTCTGTTATTATAAGATTAGCTCGGTTTGTTGGAAACTATCTTATTTCGTCTTCGATCAACTATAAGAACTAAAATTGATCGAAGCATTAAACGTTTTGTATATAGCGACTGAAGCTACTACAAGAAAAATATTTATTTTAATAGTTTTCTTTCAGTTTTTGTAATAACTTTTTTTTTTAAAGTTGCCCCACACTCGGATTTTCTCCTGTGTCGTGGGTGCGTTTACAAACATACAATATCACATACACATGACACCCAGACCCAGAACAACAATCTGTGGATCACACAAAGAGTTGTTCCGTGCGGGAATCGAACTCGCGACACGTTGAGCGGCAGCCAGTGGCCCAGCCACCGCACCAACCGTGCAGTCTATCGTGAGACATACAAAATTAACTAAAAATCACGGGTTTCCAACGTGAATATACTGAGAAAAGCTCTACTAGTTTCGAACCTATATCAGTATATCCACGTGAGTAAAGCACGATTTTTAGTTCATTTAGTTTTCTCTCAGGTTGTAGTACACCTCCATAAGGAAATTTCCTCTTACTATCTTCGCAAATATACCCATAAAACGGGTTTGTTTTGTTTTAAAACAACATGTAACTTAACACGTGTGTTGAAGGAAAGAAAAATGATATTTTATTTAAAAAGTAAAGAGAGAATCGTACGTTATAAGCTTTCAATGAAACCCGATACACAAATACATACAAGAACCTGTTGCCATGTAGTTGAGCCTTCGTATGAAGACATAAGGACTTGCCCATCGATCACATATCGCCGTTTAATCATTCTCGTTTCATGTATCACGGATGGGATCATGGAAATTGATTTACGTAGGTACTAACTACAATAAAACATCAACCCGTTTGTTGTTTGGATTGGTAGACAGATGTAGATTATACGGTTTTTTCAGGCAATATAATTCGCTGCTAGTGTCTATTTGTAGAGGTATAGGTACTATATTTATTTCTATAAATACTTAGGCTATTAAATAGCACTTTTAAAATCACTAAAAGTAATCCAGATTTCGTATTACTCCAGTATTGCTAAATCGGAGTTTCTATTTAAGTATTTTAGTTTTATAGTAAGAAGGCGTGATTCTCTGTTGGTAAACAATCGTAATTATTATGAAATAACGACAATATTATGTTCATTTTATCGATGTTCGGATTAAATGCAGGACAAATTAAAGCAGAATTAAATTGTTGGAGCGAGCTCGAGCCACGACGCGACGCGACGCTCGGAAAAATCAGACACGATAATATTTCCTGACATTGTAGGGTTGGCAGATTGTAGATAAAGTATTGCAACTTGAAATTAAAAATACGTAAGTAAAATTATTTGGTTACATCTGTTTACAGTTTTTTTACTCAAACAACCTTATTAAAATTTTGCAAGGGTTAAAACTAGAAACTAGTATTATTATAATTTTTTATTTACAATGAATACCTAAATGAATCAAAGAAGAATAGAATTAAATAATGAAGTGTTTTTTTTTCTATATAGCATATTGGAAGGACAAAAAAATTTTCTTCTATCTAAGAGTCATCCAATTTCACCATAATGGGGATTAAAACACAGTATGGTCTCCTATAGATAAATACAAAGTTACGAAATCTCCAAATAATTAAATATTTCCATGCAAATACTAGAAGGGTCGGGTCTCACTAGGACATTCTAATAGACTGTGGTATATGCATGTTTAAAGACAACCAAACACCGTTCCAAATGAACCAGTACCGAATGCCTTAATAAAAGGATTAACATAACATGACACCAGACCATTTAATCCCCAAAGGGTTTAGGCAAAGATGCCACATATATCCAGTTTTCACCAGTTTTATTATAATACCAAATAATAGGGGGTGTCTCACAACGGACACCATTTTAGACGCCGTGCTGTTTTATTGAGAAATTTTCGTAAAATAAAAAGAAATCTCATTAATATTGCCTAACTACTACGAACTACGAATTAAACAATCACTCGAATAACTATATCATAAAATGCTTAGCAAAAAATTCAATAAGTATTACATAACCTCTAAACTCCACACAAGGATTCCATCTGTCACATAGTCTGTCTTTGAAAACAGATTAAATCATTTAAACTAAATTCAAGTTGTACCACAGTGACAGCCCTAGCCACCAGCCATCATGTTATCTGTAGCAAGCAACGCAACACGCTTTATTAATGGCATTAATTTAAATGAAGAATAGCCCGCCATTTTGTATATTTGATGGCAATATTGTGGAACGTGCGAGATCCAGCAAAATGAATTAGATATTCGAATTATTTTGTTTGTAAATATTGTAAGATGTTATTACATAAAATAATTATGTCATTCTATTTTGTATCTTATTTATAAGGGGCATAAAGGTCGTTAAGGTATCTACTTAGTCTAACCACACATTTTTTTATGAGATAGATAGAAAAATGACCAAACGGATCTCTTGATGGCAAGTAATTAGCACCATCATGGACACCCACAAGACCAGAGATGCTACAAGTGCGCTACCGGCCTTTTGAAAAGGGGTAGGATCGTACCCGTTTAGTAGCAGGCACGCCCTCTGACACATGGGACTCATGACGTAATTAGGGAAAAGAGAAAGTCCATATTTAACATGTGAACATCCCTTTAGGGGTTAAAAGACGTGTTGGCGTGTTGTTTTAGTAAATGTCTTATATTTTTGCTCTTTATAAGTGTGTAAGAAAAATGACATAATTAGCTAAAAGTAGGCGTATCGTCTAAATATATCCTTTGGGGAAAAACAAGTATCATATTATGAACTTAAAACATTAATTGTACGTGTTGTACAAACGGAGTAAATGTTCAGAAAAATTACGTAGCTTGTCTACGAAATACTACGGCGTAGTCTCGTAGAGGAAAGTGCTACGAGCTACGAGCCCCGTCTGATACAGTTGCGTAGTAATTTGTATCTTTCAAGCGGATCCTGAAGTTTTATATGGATTTTTATGTAAGTTTAGCTCCTTCACAAACAATATTGTAATTTGCCAAGCCATAACATAAGGTATCTTGAAGAAACTGCATTAATTTCAGTTGAAAAGCTAATGCGTATTTTGTTTTAAAACAATGCAACCAGCAAAATGATCGCGACTTTAATCAACTACTAGGAAATTGAATCACAATAACACTCATCAGTGGCTGTGGAATTATGGGCAGCCACGCTTTGGCACGAATGGGCCGGCTCAACTGGAATGATACCACAGACATACAGAAAATCAGCGTGAAACAAGGCTAGCGTTGTGTTTTATCATATGAAGTTAGGTTAGGAGATCCAAACAGTTGATCACCACTTACCTAGAAGTAGGCGGAGATCCAGACAGCAAGGATCCCGAGCCTCTCTTGCAGAGCGGAGGCCTGGGGGCTGATGGTCTTCTTTCAACTCCTGATGCGGAGCGGGTTGCTGGGGCACCTTCAGCTGCGAGCACCCTCGCTGATACCAGCGCTGCTTCGGGGCAGTGCTGCAAAGAAACTTTTGGTTAGTGTTGAATCAAATGGAATAAGAAGAAGTATTTATTCTATTCTGCTTTAAACAGAGAGAGATAGAGCGAGAGAAAGGGCAGGAGGTAGAGTGAAATATACTTTTATTTTTTTTATTTTTCAACGTTTACCCACACTAGGATTTTCTCCCGTATCGTGGGAGCATTTACAAACATACAAGTTCACATACACATCACACCCAGACCCGGAACAACAATCTGTGGATCACACAAAGAGTTGTTCCGTGCAGGAATCGAAGACGTTGCGCGGCAGCCAATTGCCCAACCATCGCGCCAACCGTGCGGATTTAAAATTATGTATATGATTATAATTTTATATACTTTTAAGATAGCAGTAGGGTTGTGGGCTATTCCCGCGGAAGACTTAACGGGTTGCCGGGGCTCCGGCTCGAAGTGCAGGAGTAGGAACGGCATGGTTTTTAGTCAGTAAGAGTCTGACACTCCCTCTCGCCTCACCCGGGCGGGAGAAGTCATTGGATGATTTTACCACTCAAAAAAAAAAATTGTTGTGGGCTATTATTTTTACTTAAACTGTCAAACACCAAGCGGTCACCGGTGACCGCAACCTATTGTTCTATAATTGTGTCTACATAGACGGTACTCGACGAGTTAAAAAATAAAAGTATTTAAAAGGTTAGTCCATAATTTGTTACTCGTGATGTTACAAAAAAGTGGTAATATAATACACATACGTCATACAGTGAGGGGTTATTTGTTTGTATTGAAAATTCAGTGTTCTCATTTGTCTTTTTAACGGTCTAAACAACGATTTCAATATGGTTCTGTAATTTATTAGAAAGCGATCAAAGCCACGAACAAGATTCTAAGCATAAAATGTATTTCTTGAAAAGAAATGTATTTCTTTTAGAAACACAGATTTAAAGATTCAAATAAAACACAAATTCAACTTTAATGCATTAGCATAAATTCTTTTATACAAAGATTTAGTAATAGCATGAATCTTTCAAATCATATAAACTTACTTTGTATCATTAAATTTGAGTTTGATGAACCTTTTCACCTTTTATAAAAGGACTGAAGACACAATACAATTAGTGTTACGGTAATGAGGTGACTCTAGACCTTAGCACCGAATGTTGTCTAGAGTATTGACTTCAATACAAACAAAGGCACGTCTTTTTTTTATTTAAGGGGGGTAAATCATCGAATGACTGCTCCCGCCTGGGTGAGGCGGGAGGCAATGTCAGACTCTTACTGACTAAAAACCACCCCGTTCCTTCTCCTGCACGTCGAGCCGGAGCCCCGGTTACCCGTTAGGTTCTCCGCGACAACAAAGGCACGTCTACACAGCGTCTGCAATCGCTAATTATTCAGGTACAAGGCAACATTCGGAGTACAATAGACTCGGTCTCAACATTCATTTGTTTCTTACATTTTATTCTGGATGAAAATTAGAGACTATTATTGTATTCAGTCTGGTTTTAGAGTTGCGCTGACAGCTAGGTGATACGAACTTCTAGATAGCGTTTTTAAATAATGTGTACAGTCAACCTGATTTGTAATATGCTTATGTGTATTAATTTCATAGTGGTCACAGTATGATGATGTCGTGTTTTACAATATTTCAATAAGACTTGCACTAAAATCAATTTCATTATTTAATTCATAGAAAAATACAACAAATTTGTAAAATTTGTCAAAGAACAAAACTTATTAATTTAAATCTAATTTCGCACAAATCTTCAAATAATCTCGCATTCATATTATCTTCAAATTCGAAACTTTTAGAATTATTCGTGATGGAATGCCGTCAGTCGGAATCGCATAAAAGAATTTCTTTCTTCAACTGTTTTGTGAAATTTTAACGATCATGCAAAAGAAATACCTAAGTTTAATAATTCCTTTCGTTTGCTATTTTATGATTACAATTATAAACTTTTTTGTAAGATTATACCTACCTCTACCTATTATACTCATGTAATAGATTGGTACCTAAAGTAAAAACTTTTCTTAATTTGAAAACTTCTAACATTCAAATAATAGTAATTTTAGTACAATTGACAAGATTGCTATTAAAACTTTTTATTTGATATACATTTTAACATTTAATTTTAATATCTTTCTAGTTCCATTTTTAAATTCACATTTGGAATTCATTTTGAATCCATTGTAGTGTAGGTGTAGTAATACATAGTTTCATGCTCTACATACATAAAAAAAGTCGGTTATTAATTACTTTTTAAAAACTGGTAAAGATACGGTACTTACTATACGTTTGTCACTTATCTAGTCTACAAATGTCAAAAAAGGACTAGACATTTGACAGAGACCTGGCAGCAGCACGCTCTCACGCTCTTTTGTACTACTATCTTCAACCCGCCTAACAGTTATGGAGATTATGACAAACCCCCGTTCTAAGGAGACAAGGAGCGGAGGAGAAGATAGTCCACGGGTGGACCGTCACGGGCTTGTATACTCAATAAGAAGCGTAAGTATAAGTATTCGGAGCAACGCAACCGAACAGCTTTACACTTTATGTGCAAATATTTTTATAAAATGCATTGAATTTGACGTTTACAACTCAACTTGTACAAATCAAATCAAATCATCTTTTAGTATTAACCATTTAAACCATTATTTGTAGAATTTTATATGTATATTCATAAATCAACCATAAAAACTTAAAACCTAATCTCCAGCGCCCTTCACCAAACATTACGCAAATTCGTTAAGTCTCGTCTTGTAACAACAATCGATATTAAAACTAATTATCGACAAACTTCTTATTTATTGAATAAACGAACTTTGAACAATTTAAATACATCACTAATTCTTATAACGTTGAATGGTAATTTATTAAATGGAAGATAAATAAGAGTTTGGTCCAATAGAAAATGAAAACTACTAGACTTGCAAACAAAAACCTATGTATATTGAACGTTTTATTTATATAGAGCTTAATATACGTCAAAATTCTGTCTCTAGTGAGCAAATCTACAAATGGTTAGAACTGGCTGCAAGAAGAATTCTAGTGATGTCTTCGTCGAGTAGACATTAAGCTGGATATTCGGTGTCCAATAAAGTTATATAGGTTCTAACTGACCCGGCAAACTTCTTCCAGACCTTCCCTGGACTTCCACGAACATTTCAAGATCAAAATTCAGCAGTTCTCGAGTTTTAGTGAGATGAACGGACAGCATTTCATTTTTATATACTAAGAAGAAGAAGATATGTGACCTACGTAAAACATTATTCTTCTTAATACATAAACACATCCCCTATAACTAGGACTTAGAAAATAACTGGGTGTTGAAAAATGGGCGTTCTTTTTTAAAGTGGGGAAAATCATCGAATAACTGCTCCCGCCTGGATGAGGCGGGAGGGAGTGTCAGACTCTTACTGCGTTGGAGTTATATTGGAAATCTGCACCTCATCCTAGCCCTTTGGGGTCTTAAATATGTCATTATGACCTTTTATTTTAAGTCTAACATTTGACCTTCCCATTTAGAAACGAAACTCAACCGTCACTTAATGTATTGTACTCTTATAGCCGAAATTTTTCACAACGTACACACAATTATACAGAAAGCTGAAATAAACCAGTATAAACTGACCGTCGTATGTGCGGAAAGACCATACAAACCGAGATCAAGATAATCTGGATTCTCAAAATTCGAAGTAAAGTCTATGATACTTATACATCATAACATGTTAAGTTCCTTTGTTGTACACAAAAGGGACACAAATGTGAAATGTATGTAAAAGTCGTGTGATTATAAACTTGACTTGAAAGGATTTTCCAATATTAACGAGGCAAGGAATGGATTTTCTGCTTGAATAATTGATTTCCATAATTATAAGTTTAAATGAGACTTGTTCGGTATAATATGATTTCGGTGTGCTTTATTGAAATGTGCCAATGATTTTTAGTTTAAAATAATGTCGTTTTTTATGTTTTTTTATCGGATACAGGCCAGTGAGTAGACGAATCATCTGATGGTAATTCTACAGCGCCACCCATGGGCATGACATGGTGAAGCACCAGGGGTATTACAAGAGTAAAGCCGGCCTTCCATACGCCAGATTTCCTCACATTGCGGCTTCATCATCATCATCATCAACAGCCATTAAATACCCACTGCTGAGCAAAGCCTCTTCTCACACGGAGAAGGTTTGAGCATTAATCACCATGCTTGCTCAATGCAGGTTGGTGATTTCAAAATCATAATTATAAATTATAAGTCCAGGTTTCCTCACGATGTTTTCCTTTACCGTTTGTCAGTGGTGTCTAAATAATCTTTAGAAAGTATATATGACTCGGAAAAAGTTCATTGATACCAGCCGTTGGTAGGATTCGAACCGGCACCCTCATTCATTAGAAACGGGCGCCTCTTGCGGCTTACTCCTGCCGAAGTATGGCTTTCCCACGTGTAAACGTATTTTCATGGACTACTATTGACGATATTTTTTTTAATTACCCACTACAAAAGTTCGCTTTTATGTTGTACATAATAGCAATTAAATGTCGAATCTAACAAAACTTTACCCTCATCACTTACACGCTTATTTACAATCCCAAACTCTAGAGAACTATTTAATTGAAAAATCCAAAAGTATTTACGAAACAAACTACGCAGAGCGAATAGTACCTTTACCCATTCAACCAGTAATTGAATCCCTAGTACTCAGAAAACCGTTTTAAAAACATAACACCAATTATAACCTAGAAAGCAGTTGACATTTAAAAAACATTGAACTCTATGGAACAAAAATCTCTATGGAAGAAAAAGAAAACAGTTGTCACGTTTCGCGTAAAATGAAATAAAATAAAAATACGAAGCAAACAAAATCAAAAACATTTATTTGATTTTGTAACACTTTTATGATAAAACTTTTAATTAAAATTCTCGAGCTTGAGTAAATAATGACAGTTCAAAGACGCCATGTTGGAATTTGAATCAAACATGGCCGCTGAGTATCGATTTGATTCGATTGTTTGT